AACACTAAACCCTAAACCTCAAACCTACCGGAAACCACAAACCCCAAAACCCCTCCTCTCAGAAACCCGAAAACACTCAAAACACCCAGGACCCGAAGTTCAAAACAAGGCGTATCCCAGACTGCTGCTGATTGATACAGAAAACGTCATGTCTGTAGAGTCGCCTCACAATGAGGATGCCTATGAATCCGTTACATCTCTGTTAAAAAGCAGGATGTGTATTGATTCCTAGGTTTACAATAAAGGCTTAAGACCGTATACAATCCTACGAAGACCTTGTAACACGAAACCCGCCAAACAAAGGCCCCATCAAATCCCATATAGAAACAATGCTAACCCTTGTAATGCCTGGGAAAAGCCCCATAAACCGAAGAAAAGAGCTCTAGCGAATCCCAGTGGCTAAGTGCTTCAAGCCGTGCTCGCTGTTGCCAGTCACCGCATCTGCTCAGTAGGGTTTATGGGTCTAAGAGACAGAAACCTCTAAACCCCAAAACCCTAATCCCTAAACCCCTAAATGCTAAACTCTGAAACCGAAAAATTTGGGGGTTTGGGGCTTCGAACTCAAAGTGCGTGAAGAGCTTGAGGTTTAGATTATCATTTCTGGGTTTAAGAAGGCTTGTCGTTCTGGATTTGGGGCTCTGGCTGAGAGTTAAAAGGATAAGGGGTGTAGGCTTTGGATTAGGATTTAGGGCTTTAGGTTTTAAGGTTTAAGGTTTAAGGTTTAGGGCCTGCCATTATTGGAGGCTGCGGCTTAGAGGGTTCAAACGGCTTAATGCACAGGGATTTAGGCTATGCCAGACACTTTAATATTTCAATTTGATTTTGGTGGTATTATAAAAAAACCCTAAGGAATAACATCGGTAGTTCCTCTAAAGATTGAACCCGAAACCCTAAACCCTTACTTTTAAACCCTAAACTCAAAACTGCCAGGGTTGAGCTGCGGATTTCTGGCTGCAGGCTCAACCTGCAATCCGAAAAGACTAGTGTTTCCAAGGGAGATATCAATACATCATAAAGGAACCCTACCAATTTCAAATTTGGTTGGTTCAGGTAGGGGCTTCGGGTTTAGAAGCTTTGCTAGGGCTTAAGGCTTTAATGTAGAAGTCCAACTAGTTACCAACATTATTCCTGAGGGTTCCTTATTGCATGTATGCTATAGTATACCCCAAAACCCTCTTCTGATTAAAACCCCAGGACTCAAGGTGCCGTAAGAACCCTGCTGTACACAGACTCTGAGAATGCCAACAGGAACTATGAAGTAATGCTCCCAGCCGCAGACCCTAAGCCCAATTCTCAGAACCACAAAACAAAAAAAAGCCCAAACCCTCAACAGCAGAACCTAACCCTGAATCCTAAACCCTCAAACCTAAACCCCAAACCCTGCACCCTAAACCCTGAACCTAAACCCTAAGCCCCCAAACCCTGAGACCCCTTCAAGGCGCGAAGCGCCTCCATGAGTCTTGAGCCACTCGCCGTCGCAGTTTACCCACCTGACCCGTCTCAGGGTTTAGGGTTTAGGGTTTAAGGCTTAGGGTTTAGGGTTTAGGGTTTAGGGCTCAGGGTTCAGGGTTTAGGGCTCAAAGGCGTAGGAGTTCAGGATCAAGGTCGGTTGGGGCGTAGGGCCTTTCGGGGGGTTGGGCATAGGGCCTCTGGCACGAAGCCAAAACCAACGTCTAAGGCACAGAAAACCCCAAAACTCTGAAACTCCATGTTTTGCAAACGTCCATCTCCAACACATGTGAACAAACGTATTGCATTAGATAGAAAAAACATGCTATAGTTGTACATTCTCAATGATACCCTAAAACCTAAACTTAAACCCTAAACCCTAAACCGTACAACACGGAAGCCAAACCCAACACCCCCCCCACGCTGCCTCGTGGTGTCGTCCACACTCAACTTCGAGGGCTGGAAGCCCGGTGTCTTGCGGGGATCCTGCTTTGGGTCTTTGGGTTTCAGAAAGGGCTACCGCGGGGCCTGTGTTTGTGAAAACGCAGGACAGCCCACTCTCTTGGGTGTAGGATTTCAGGTTGAGGGTTTAGGCTTTAAGGCTTAGGCGTTTAGGGTCTAGGGTTTCAGGGTTGAGGGTTTAGGGTTTAGGGGTTTACAGCTTAGGACTTGGGAGCTTACACCTTAGGCTTAAATTTTAGGGCTTAGGGCTTTCCCTAAACCCTAAACCCTAAACCCTAAACCCTAAACCCTAAACCCTAAACCCTAAACCCTTTAAGCGCTTCGAAGGTTCAGCGTATGGGGATGGCCATCCTGCGACCAAATGCATGCGCACAACCGAATTTATTAGGCCTTAAGAATCAGAATAAGGTTTCATAGGGCTCCTAGAAACTAGAAAGGGTTCCCTAAAAGCGTTCTTTACGGGCTACTATAAGGGTTTAGGGTTTGGAGGCCTTAATAATTGGAACAACGTTTCGGGGCCCAGTATACTTTCATTATAATAAGGAACCTCTAAACAGGTATTCGTAATCATTTAGGCCTCTACAGTAAGCCCCAAACCCTAAACTGTGCTGATTGTATACAAGTCTGTTTGTAGCCCTGAAGGTGTGCCATAGCCCCTCTTGTCGAAGCCGGATACCCGAGATGCATTGGGGTGTCCCCACACAACAAGGTTGAATAAGTCTGCACAACTCACAAAGGGCCTGGACAATTAGAATAGGTTTTCGGGGCTATCGCAGCGTAATAGCAGAGAGACGGAAAGTTGACACCCTAAACCCTAAAGCCTAATTATGTAGACATGCCATGCGTATTCAAGTCTGAGCGCTCAAAACTCCCTGTACCTACAGAGCCACGGGATGCTTCAGGTTTGGGTTTTGCCGGGCACCTTTAACTTTAGGCGGTCTCCATGATACCCCTCATAATGCTATAATGCTCAACAGCACAAAAGCCACTAGTTCAGCAATCTTGCAAGAGCGCCTGATCATTCTCCAGGTACCCAACGCTGAGGCCACAGATGACAAAATGGTCATCTGGCATCTTCTCCTGCAGGTAACAACTTAGAGCTACCAAACCCTCAGAAGCTCAAACCTTCCAACCATAAACCTTGGCATAAGGTCATACCTTCAACAGAAAGAGGCTCTTAGCTGGTGAGCCTCCCTCTGAACCCTCAACCCTGACATCCAAACTCGAAACACGATTTGAAAAGGCGTGGAGTTTAGCAGAACGCAGAGCTTCAGGGCTAGTTTAGGCTCATGACCCACTCCCTGCAATGCCCAAAAAGCTATACCGAGCTCCTTCAGGACCTCCTTGTAGATGTCGTTATATTTAGCGAGGGAGAACTGCCTGGGTCTTTTGGGTTTAAGGGTCGGATAGGTCTACAGGGATTTAGGATTTAAGGTTCAGAGATTTAGGGTTTAGGGTTAGGTTTAGGGTGTATAGAGTTTAAGGTTTAGGCTCGAATGGGTCCATCAGCTAAGGGGTGAGAGGCGAGAGAGAGTGCCTTCTTGTAGGGTGAAAGATCAGCATAGCTTGCGTTCTTAAGGTTCAGGTTTAGAGTTTAGAATATGGAGTTTGGGGTTTGGGGTTTGGGGTTTAGGGTTTAAGCTCTAGTGGGTCGGTCGATCGGGTTAGGAAAAGGCTCGGGCGCGAGAGGAACCGCCTTCCGGGAAAAGCGGGTAAAGTTTAGGGTTTGGGCTTTAGGGTTTAGGGTATCGACATCGTCGTCATGATCGTTGCCGTGATGTTCATTGTCACGTAAGCGGAAATTCAAGGACATCTCGAGTTGGGTAATGAAGACATGGATACCTTTATATCATAGTAGGAGACCTACATAACCTCATGTAAAACCCCCTTGTCCCGATACCTGCTTTATTACGGGAGCCTTACACCCCAACCTGTGTTTAAACGATGGCAGTGCAAACGCCACAATGATGCGGATCGCTCTGATAATAGCTACTAGCACACTCTCATCTCTATCATCACCAGCAATTTCGTTCACTGCCCTTCCGCTCATCGCCACAGTCACAGCAAATGCTAAGCAGAGGCTATTCAGGCATGCTGTCACTGGCCATGAGAATCAAGATTACAACGAGCTTAAACTGGAACAAATCAACAAAGAAGCAACAACGTACCTTAAACCCTCCACCCAAAGACAGCCTAAGCTAAGATGCGGGTGGACCCCCAGACCCAGATCGAAGGCCGAGAAGGACATGGCCGTCATGGCCGACCCCATGTCGAGGAACCTTGAAGATTCAAACTGAGGTTCTTTGGGCTGGAGGCTTTAGGGTTTAGGGTTTAGGGCAACGTCAATTGTGAGTAAAGGCTTCTGAGTTTTGGGTTTAGGGTACAGGGGTTGGGTTAGGCGCTAGAGGTTGAGGGTTTGGGCATTAGGCTTTATAGCTGCTTCGTGCCTCAACGACGACAGGTACTGGTTGGGACGCTGCGTAAGTCGGAGCGTTGCAAGCTTGTGGTATGTGCAGAATTGGGGTCCGGCTTGCTGCTGCTCAGGGCTTACTGCTTCCAAAAGTCTGGCAAGTCTGCCAAAAAAGGCGCTGCTTACATTGTTCCTGATGGTAGTTGGAAGCCTGCACATGATGACAAGCCAATTTTCACATTTCGGGAAGAGGGTGGCAACGCAGCAGTAACGGTAGTAGCAAGTAGTAGGTCGAAGGAGCAGCAAGATTAGGAGCCGCTGCTACTACGGCTGCTCCTGCCCCTGCTCTCTTAATCCTGCTCCTGTCCTCCTAGCAGTCCTAACAGCTGCGACCACTCAAACTGCAGCAGCAGCGAGGATCATTGAAAAATCAGCACCGCCACCAACAAACAATGAGTCTAGTTCCTTTTTGCAATACAGATAACACGCATGACGCTAATGGCACTGAGAGCCGCTACCGTTCGTAAGACTCACGGTCAAACATCAACCTGGCAGCACACCATCCACAGGCGGACTCTCCTCTAGGCATGGGCCCTTCGGTGCACAGACCACGAGATGAAGGGGTGCGCCGAAGAACCTTGGCTCGGGCTCGGTTTTGGGCTTGAAACCATAACCGGCGATAAAATGTTTAAGGACAAGTAGCAACAGCAGTAGGAGTGGGAAAAGGAGAGGAGGAGAAGTAATACTAGTACTAGTGGGTGGCAGTGGTGGCGGTAGTGTAGTAGTAGTAATAGTAGTAGTAGTAGTAGTAGTAGTAGTAGTAGTAGTAGCAGTAGCTGTGGCAGTGGCAGTGGCAGTGGCAGTAGCAGTAGCAATAGCAGTAGCAGTAGCAGTCGTAGCAGTCGTAGCAG